TACAAAGATTACTAGAATCGAGTTCCTATTTTAAAAGATTACATAATCAAGTCCTAAAATATCTCTACACTCCCCCTCAAGTTGATGCATAGATGTCGAACATGCCCAACTTGCTCCCAAACTTGGAGAACATTTTACTCGAAATTGCTTTAGTAAGAAGATCAGCCAATTGGTCCTCCGATTGAATCTTGGGTAACTCTAATATCTTTCCATCCAACTTTTCCTTGATGAAAAACATGTCTACTGTTTTATTCGAAAAGATAAATAAAAGAAAAATGACTGAGTTTTCGAAAAATCGATTAAACTCATGATTTAAGAGAAATCAAATTTCCAAAAGAACAGAGTCGCCACTTAATTTTTAGTAAATAATCAAGAAAAATATAAGATTTTTCAAAAAGATTTAAACAGATAAAATCAATTGAAAAAAAAGGGTTCGAGTTCAAATGTACATTCCGAGAAGGTGTTAGGCCCTCGGAATGCCCGCTAACTCGTGGTTGACCGGCGATTTGACCAAAATGATTTTGACTAATTTTGAAATTTTAACTAAGTGAAAGAACTCATTTTATTTTAACTAATTTTTTTGAAAACTTTAACTAAATAAAAGAACTCTTTTACTTTAACTTATTTTTTTTAAAAAAAACTTTTAACTAAGTAAATGAACTCATTTATCTTAACTTATTTTTTAATTTTTTATTAAGTAAAAAAACTCATTTATTTTAACTTATTTATTTATTACTAGTCACTAAAATAACAAATAAATATAAGAGGAGAAAGGAGAAAAATTGAACTCGGGCTTTTGCCCAAATTCGGAGAAAAAAAAATAGACTTTGCAACTAACTTTGAAGATTAATTCAAGAAGAAAGGATGTAACAAAAATGAATCATTTAACTTAAATGTTTTGAAATCATTTAGAAAGAAAAGTAAAGTTTTTCAAAATGGTCAAGTAAAGAAAACTAATTAAATAAGACGAAATAAGTTATCATAATCAAAAGTGGTTCATCTTTAGGGGGATTAATTAAGTTAAATAACCAAATCGCATAAATGGGTCAGAGAATAAATAAAGGGAAAATTAGCAATTAAGTCATAATACCTAACATAATTAGTCAAAACAACAACACTTTAAAATATTTATTTAAAATGTCAGAATGACAATATTTTTAGAAAATATTATGTATTTAGATTTTATTATTTAAAATTAATTTTATTTATGAAAATAGTCATATATTGGACCAAATTCTAAACCAATAACCGTTAAAACGAAAAAAAATAAATTAAACCAATACCCATTAACCTTCCTTCTTCACCTTTCACGTTTCTACCCCCACCTTTCACGTTTCCAGATTCTCTTTCTTCAAGGTGCTCACAAATTGCTCATCAAAATATATATTTTAATTCAAGAAATTTTCTCGATTGTTAAGCGAAATCTCTTTATTAATTCAAGAGATTTCTCGATTGGCAAGGTAATTTCCATTATAGATTTATTTTGATTTGTTGTTTAAAACCGATTATGGTGTATATTTCGGATTCTATATATTACGGATTTCTAGTCAAATTCTTCAATTTTTATGTGATTTTGTTTAGATATTCATCAAATATTTCAGATTTTTATTCTTTTAAACAATTTTTTTGTGATTTTCTTTTAATTTTTCAGATTTTGTAGAATCTAGAAATTCATTTATATGTTTATTTTGTTTGATATTTAATACATATATTTTGATAATATCGAAGTTTTCTTTTAGGGTTTTAGATTTTGAGGAAAGCATCTGATTGTCTACATGACAGAATCAATCAAAAAATTATTGGTATTCATTTTTTCGTTTGAAATACAAAATCATACTGAAATACAACCTGATATTTGAAATACAAACTTAGTAAGACATATTTTGTATTTTATTTGGCTAAAGCAATATAATTTTTATGAATACATAATATATAAAATTGCAACGGATACATCACAAATAGGGGAATACAAAATTATTGGTATTCATTCTGCGTTTGATATACAAAATGATATTGAAATACAACCTCATATTTGAAATAAAAACTGAGCCAGAAAATACTTTCTGCAAATTTAAAGTGAAATAATAATATAACAAAACTGGATATTGAAATATAAATACAATTTATTTTGAATACAACTTATTCTATGTATTATGTATTCATCGCAACTGTATTTTTCAATATCATTTCGATTTACAACTAATTTGTATTTATATTTTGGTATATACTTCACAACTGTCTTTATTTTTGTACTTGAACTACAATGCCAAAGAGTTGTATTCATCATAAATCAATACCAATAATTTTTATATTTTAAATTAGTTATACATATCATTAGGTATTCAAATACATTTCGGATGAACACATATTCAAAGAAGTTCAAACATTTAAATATCCAAAACAGAGGGCATTAGAAATTTTCCAACACTTTCACTCATATAAGATATAAAATACAAACTACTGTTTTCAAAAAAAAAATTGAAATTCTTAAGAACAAAGGAAAAAAATGCTAGAAAGAAAAATGGCAACATATGCACTTTCAAAAACGTAATTGATGTTAAATTTTAAATTTTTTTTACCTCTTTTGAAATTTTCTGTTCCATGATTTTCTCTATTCTGTTATTAATTATTTGTATTCTTTCAAATTAATCAAAATAAAATAAATACATAGCTCAGTTAAAATATTGACATTTTAAATAAATAATGAAACTATTGCTAAAGAGTCCCATTAAAAACTAAAATACTGTTGTTTTGAAAATTTTCCCATAAATAAATAATGGCAATAACAAGAGGATGCCCAAATTTGGGCCAAATCTATTGGACTTTAGGCCCATTTTCGCCCCAAAGACTTGCGTATACCAAAGGCGTATATCGATGTATATAGGCCGTATTTCGATCCATTTTTGTGTATATCGGACCGTATATCGAATATAGACAGTCCACTTCACATTTCCAGCACCTGTATCGGCTTTCCAGCCCTGTATATCGCTGTTCTTTCTATGTATACATGTGTATACAGTCGTATACATCATGTATACTGCTCTCTTTTGGGCTTTTTAGGATCTGAAAATTCAGTTTCCAGCCCTTGTACTACCTGTAACCTGTTCACCGGCTATTTGGACTCGATAAAGAGAAGCAAAATCCCCGAAATGCAAGAAGGAAGCGGAGTCCCCACGGACTCAAGAGGGGTTCACATTCAACAAGGAAAAAAAAAGGAAAACACGTTAGTGAACTTAATGTTTCCAATGACTTGAGAAAAATAGCATATTTAAAGAACTTTAACACCAACTCAATCAAATAAGTAAACCGAAACATAGAAAAAGTATTACACCAAATTAATATATTAAAATCTTGTGTAGTCAAACAATCATTTTATCATAAAATGGGGAATGAAATAATATAGTGAGAGTGTTAGCATTCTTTTTTCTACTGCCTGGTGATCTCAAATAATGAAGGAAATATGGATATGCATTTTTTTTTAAAAAAAGTAAATTAATAAAAAAAATGACTAGTACATGCTTCATGCAGCATGACAAATATATCTTTCATGGCCTAAATATCGTGGCAAATAAATCTAGCAATTCAAAAAGAAAGTCATTCTAAATGACAGACAATCCTTGGTCTTTCAACACTTAGCATATGCTTCATGACAAAATAGGGAGGAAAATGCAAACCAACAAAATAATTATAAACATTTAGCTTCATGTTAGAATAAGTGGACAGCAAATACACTCAACAAACTATGAAAGCATGTTGAAAATGAGGAGAAATGAACGCCAAATAGACAGTTACACATTTGTAATACAAAATAGGACGGCCGTGGAATTTAATCAAGAAGAAAATGACCACTTATGCTCTCCGATCAGCAGCTACGACAACATATAACTTCATACTAAAAGATTCCAAGATTTTCCCTCATCTCAAAGGAAGAATAGAGAACATCAGCAGTAGTAAAATAAATGGAACCTTCAATATTCAAGATGCTAAAGCAAAAATAAAATATAGATTCGACGATATCCGAATAACAGATTTAGAAAGGCAAGATGAACCCCAAATAGAGAGCAAAGGAGTGAAGACATTAACTACAAAACAATATAACATTCAAATCAACATAAGAATGGAAAACAGAACTCATTCCGTGAACAAACATGACTTATCAAGACGACGAAAACATAGCTAAAGTTAACAACACTGTGTCGAAGTGGCGAAAACGAAAAGAGTGTCATGAAGGGGTGAAGTATTACCTTATTCCGGGCAGCGACTGGACAAAAACGAGCAGAGGAGACAGCGAGCTTTTGCAACACACAAATTCGAGGTTCAAGCACCACACTAAGAGAAGCTAAACGAAACCAAATAAAAATTCTCCCGGAACCTTTGAACTTTTATAACTTTTTCCGATTCTCTTCCTAACTTTTCTCTCCAAATGTTTGTATGCGAATGTTTTGACCAGTAGCTTGTGTTCCTCTCAAATTCCGACTAAAATCTCCAAAAATTTCTCTAACACCAAATTTTCCAAAAAAAAATCCTCCTCCACTTGTAGAAGAACAGGGTATTTATAGTGGAGAATTAGGGTTCGGATTTTGGGGGGGGGGGGGGAAGGAATAAAAATCAGATTCAAAAGGCCTATTGAAGTTGTACATTTTGTATATTAGCTTGTAGTTAATTAGTTTGTACAGTCAGTCAGTCAAGTTGTTAATTAGTTTGTTACACTTTCCACTAGTTAGTTAATTAGTTTGTTACACTTTTTCCTCTGTATATATAACACTGATGGGTTGAATAGAAGATTAACTTTTCCATTTCACAAATAACTGTTTCTCTGAATTCTCTCTGTATTGATATGGCGGAAGCCTCCATTGTTGTGACCTTCATTGTTGTATCTCGAGTTCACTAAGTTTTACATGGTATCAGAGCGATCTCGATCTAGAGACACTCGTTCCTTTTCTTTTTCTGTTTTTTTTCTTCTCAACCTTTCATTGATTGCGCACCTGTAACAGTTAACTATGGCGATTGGTAATACCTCTGATTCTACTGGAATTGGTAATGGAGATAACACTTCTGCTCTGACTCCGATCGATTCGAACAATCCCCTGTATATGCATCCATCTGATAATCCTGGTGCGATGCTCGTACCAATGCAGTTCACTGGACTTGGTTATCCTTCATTGAGGCGTAGTGTTTTGCGATCACTGTCTGTGAAAAACAAATTAGGATTCATTACTGGTGAATGCTCACGCCCTAGATCTGATCACCATACCTACAGACAATGGGAGAGGTGTGACGATATTGTTACGTCATGGATTTTGAATTCATCGTCCAAGGAGATTGCAGATAGCGTTGAATATGTTCAGAATTCTGCTGAGCTCTGGAAAGAGTTGGAGGATAGATACGAGCAAACGAATGGAGCAAATTTGTATCAAATTCAGCGGGAAATCAATGATTTGTCTCAGGGATCCCTCGACATCACAGCTTATTACACAAAGTTGAAGAAACTTTGGGAGGAACTTAGCACTTTGAATGTCAAAACTCAATGTACTTGCAACTGCGTTTGTGGACTAAAAGAAAGTGTTTACAAGGGTGAACAGGATAGAAGATTAGTTCAATTCCTAATGGGACTCAATAAGATTTATACAGCAATACGTGGTAGTATACTTATGATGAATCCACTACCCTCTATGGCACAAGCATTTTCTCTGTTAGTTCAGGATGAACACCAAAGAGAGATCAAACCTTCAAATCATCTTACTCTAGATTCGACTGTTTTGCATGCTGGGACTGATAAGCCCACACACTATAAAACCAATTACTCCACCAACAATTTGAAGTATAAGGACAGGATTTGTAATTACTGTAAGAAAACTGTCCATCTCATGGAAAAATGCTATCAACTTCATGGTTATCCACCTGGTCATCTGCTCCATGGTTCTTCACCTGGTCACATTAACAACAGTCAAAACTCCAATTTCAGTCTTAACCAAAATAGGAACACTCAATCAGCTCAAAGGTCTAACACAACTAGAGCACCTGCACGATTCAATCAATACCCTCACACACCTGGTTATGGCAGAGGAAATGGGGGTAAGGCAGTGGCAAATGCTAACTGTGCAGCTGATCTAAACATTGGGAAGGGACTAACAACAAGTACTACAGGTGAAGAAATGTTCAATGTGAATCTTACAAAGGAAGAATATGGTCATCTCCAGGCTGCACTCCAACATTTCCAGAAGGATTATGATGCTGAGTGTCCCCCCACCAATCAAGCTTTTACTAATGGTACAGTTGATTTTGCAGGTACAATAATTTGCACTTCTTCTATAGATTCTAGCAAACTGTCTTGTGCATGTTCCAAAAACAAGTCTGAGTCGTGGATATTAGACTCAGGAGCTTCGAACCATATGACTTTCAACATTTCCCTCTTACACAATGTTACCACCCTTCCATATCCAATCCTAGTAGATTTACCAAATGGCTATAAAGTTAAGGTGACTCAGATTGGAAGTGTAGCATTAGGACCCATGATTAGCCTAGAAAAAGTCTTGTTTGTGCCATCTTTCAAGTACAATTTGATTTCTATTAATGCCATGAGCATGCAGTCCACTGCACTATCAGTTTCACTAAAACTTCATGTGTTATGCAGTCCCTTCAATGAAGAGGCCTCTGGTCATTGGTAGGGCAGAAGCTGGACTCTACTTCCTTTGTCCCAATTGCTTGAAGACTCTCAATTCTTCTTCTTTGAGTAGTATTTCCTCATATTGCATTTTTCCTTCATGTAATGCTTGTAATAGAAGTCGTTATTTCCATGTATCAGATAGTATGAAATGTACTTCTTTTCTTAACAAACAGAATTCTTGTTTGAATGTTGAAAATTTTCCTATTGTCCCTCTACTGCATTCTCCTATTTTCTCTCACACATGCACTGGAAATAATGTAGATGTTGTGTGGCACAATCGATTGGGACATGTTCCTTTTGTCAAAATGAAAATTATTTCCACTATCCCCATCACCTTTTCCTCTAAACAACCATTCATGTGCTCTATTTGCCCAATGGCAAAGCAAGAAAGATTGCCTTTCAAGCCAAGAACCAGCATAAGCTCACAGCTGTTTGAACTAGTATATGTTGACCTATGGGGACCATATCACATAGCCACACATAACCACTTCAAATACTTCATCACCATTGTGGATGATTTTAGTAGATCCACTTGGACTCAACTCTTAAGTTCCAAAAGTAATGCCCTGCAAACCCTTAAGGCTTTTATTGTCATGGTGGAAAATCAATTCCAAACTACTGTTAAAACAGTTAGAACAGACAATGGTCTGGAGTTTGTCAACACAGAAACAACCATTTTTTTTCAAACCAAAGGAATCATCCATAAGAAAACTTGCCCATATACACCCCAACAAAATGGTGTAGTGGAGAGAAAACATAAATATTTACTTGAGACTGCCAGGGCACTCTTGTTTCAATCCAAACTACCTACAAAATATTGGGGGGAGTGTGTACTTTGTGCCACTTATATAATAAATAGACTTCCATCTCGAATATTGAACAATAAATGCTCCCATGAAATGCTATATAACAAAAAGCCTTTATATTCTCATATGAGGAGTTTTGGTTGCCTTTGTTATCCCACCACACCTATCCCTCATAGAACAAAATTTGACCCCAGAACTACACCACATATCTTCATTGGTTATCCTTTTGAGACAAAAAGGTACAAAGTCCTAAATGATGTCACATATTATAGGAAGCTTGTTGGGAAACTAAATTTCCTCACTAATACTAGGCTGGACATTGCTTTTAGTGTTCAACACCTCAACCAATACATGCAGGATCCTAGGGAACCTCACTTACAGGCTGTTTTCCGTCTCCTTCGATACTTAAAATTTGATCCTACACTGGGCCTGTTTACGTCTAAAAATGCAGATTTCTCCGTCAAAGGTTATTGTGATTCAGACTGGGCTTCATGCCCTGATTCTCGAAAGTCTGTCAGTGGGTATTTGGTGTTGCTTGGGGACAATCCTATAAGTTGGAAATCAAAGAAGCAAGAGACCATCTCTTTATCCTCTGCAGAGGTTGAGTACAGATCACTTCAAAAGGTGGTAGGTGAATTGGTTAGGTTGAGTCGGCTACTTTCTGAACTGAATGTCCCTTTTCCAAAACCAATCTCAGTGTTCTGTGATAGTTAGTCTGCCTTGCATATAGCTAAAAACCCTATCTTTCATGAACGAACTAAGCACATCGAGGTTGATTGTCATTATGTTCGCTAAGTTCTCCATGAAGGCCTCATCTCACTGCATCACATTGCTACTCAGGATCAGCTAGCAGATATTCTAACCAAGGCTTTGACTGGGATCAAACATTCCTTTATTCTTCACAAGTTGGCAGTGTTATCTCCACCACCAACTTGAGGGGGGGTATTGAAGTTGTACATTCTGTATATTAGCTTGTAGTTAATTAGTTTGTACACTCAGTCAGTCAAGTTGTTAATTAGTTTGTTACACTTTCCACTAGTTAGTTAATTAGTTTGTTACACTTTTTCCTCTGTATATATAACACTGATGGGTTGAATAGAAGATTAACTTTTCCATTTCACAAATAATTGTTTCTCTGAATTCTCTCTGTATTGATGTGGCGGAAGCCTCTATTGTTGTGAGCTTCATTGTTGTATCTCGAGTTCACTAAGTTTTACAAGGCCAAATTCAAAATTCAAAACTTCAAACCTTTCACCCTTCCGGCTAAACACCATTTCCTTGAGGTTTTGACTCATTCCGAATGGGGGAAAGGGGAACAAACGCCTCGGATCAAACACAATGTCCTTGGGGGGCGACGTGGCCTCATCTCACACCCCCAAAGAGGAAAATGCGTGCTTTTGCTGCTGCTGCGACTGCTGGAACAGTACTGAGTTACTGCTCGTTTTTGCAAAGAAGAAGAAGAACGACGCAGGTGGGGTTGGCATGTGTTGTTGTATGTTTTTGGTTGTTTTTGTATTGTTATGTTGTATTGTTGAATGGGTCTTTCAGCTGGGAAAAGAAGTGGGCAGGGTCATTGGGAATTGGGTTGTTGGTTGCTGAAAAATTAGGAGTAGAGGGCCCAAGTTCTTGGTCTTAAAATGGGTTTGAGGAATTGGCTTAAGAAAATAGCCACATGAACGTGGTTATGGCCAAATGGAAATTACGAAGCTAGCCGAATTGAATTTAATTGGTTGTTCGACCAAAAACTAAATAAAACGAATTAGTATAAATTAAATAAAGAGCTTCTTAACCTCAACGAAATAAAATCGCAAACTAATTAATCTAAAATTATAATCACAACTTAAACACGCTTCTCGAATTAACAAAATAAAATAATTAAGCTAATAAGCTAAATAACATAAAATTATAAATACACTTTAAACCCAATTACTTTAATTGAAGATTTAATAAAAATCTTTTTGAGACGATTTTGGGATATTCTTGAAATATACTAATTATATGCCTAATTATATAAGATATAAGTATTGTCTAAAAATTATAATAAGTGACAAAAGTTATTTAAAATAACCTCCAGACTATATATATTTATATTTTATTTATTTTAATTTTTATTTCTTATAAAAACTAATTATCTTAAATCGTTTAAAATTGGAGAAGCTCAATGATCAATATATATTGGGGAGGGTCAGAATTGGGTGTCAACATCTACTTCTACATGCGTGGTACGATCGTGTTGTACCGGATTATGTGTAATATCACGTGCAGCCTTATTATCACAATATAGTTGGATTGGTGCCTTAGGTGGATAACCCAAATTTGTTAAGAGAAGTCCCAACCATAATGCTTCACATATTCCAAGTGTCATTCCTTCGAATTCCGCCTCCACACTTGAGCGAGCAACGACATTTTGTTTTTTGCTTCTCCATGTAACAATATTTCCTCCCACAAAAGTGAAATATCCTGAAGTAGACCGTATGTCATTGATAGCTCCAGCCCAGCGCGCATCCGTATATACATTTATTACTAAAGGATCTGTACATTTTGTGAACAAAATTCCCTTTGCTGGAGCAGACTTCAAATATTTCAAGATGCGCATAATTGCATTCATATGTTGCTCACCAGGATTATGCATAAATTGATTTACCCCACTTAAAGAATAAGCAAGGTCTGGTCTTATGTGTGCTAGGTATATCAATCTTTCTACAAGCCTCTGATATCTTCCTTTATCAACTGGAATTTGATTAGGTTCAACACTTAATTTCAGGCCTTCTTCAACAGGTGTATCAGTTGGTTGGCAAGCTGTCATGCCAGTTTCCTTTAACAAATCTAAAGTATATTTTCTTTGGGATAAGAAAATTCCTTTAGATGATTTAGAGACTTCAATTCCAAGGAAAAACTTTAATGGACCAAGGTTCTTCATCTCGAATTCTTTAGACAGCTAGCTTTGGAGAGCTTTCCTTTCTTCAGGGTCATTTCCAGTCACCACCATGTCATCAACATATGCAATAAGGGCAGTAATTTTACCTTGTTGTCTCTTTAAGAACAAAGTGTGATCGGTGTTGCTTTGAGTATAGCCAAATGCTTTCATAGATTTGGTGAATTTTCCAAACCACGATTTTGGTGATTGTTTCAGTCAATAAAGTAATTTCTTCAATCTTCATACTCTATAATCATGTGATCTCGATATCTCGTACCCTGGAGGATAGTCCATATAGACTTCTTCATACAACTCACCATGAAGAAAAACATTTTTCACATCAAATTATTGTAGAGACCAATCAAAATTTATAGCCAAGGATAATAGCACTCGAAATGTGTTGATTTTTGCAATAGGTGCAAATGTTTCAGTATAGTCGATTCCATAGGTCTGAGTATATCCCTTAGCCACCAATCTCGCTTTGAATCGTTCTATCATACCATTTGTTTTGTACTTGACTGTATACACCCATCGACATCCAACTGTTTTCTTTCTTGGTGGACAATCGACAAGTTCCCATGCATCATTTTTTTCAAGGATTTCATCTCTTCATCCATAGCTTCTTTCCACCAGGGATTAATTAAGGCTTCCTGCACATTGTTAGGAATAAATACAACAAATAATTGATTTACAAATGACTTATTTGATTCCGACAAATGATGATTAGACACAAAATGGCTCAATGGGTATCTAGTCTTACCAGAAATTTATGCTTCATAGGTGGGTTTAGGAAGACCTCTATTGTGTCGTGGTGGTAGTTGTTTGACTGATGATTCAGGTACAAAATCAGAAACATCCTGAGTTGGCGACGATTGATTTGGTACACCAGTTGCTTGTTGGGTGAGGGGTTCATGTGATATTGGACAAACTTCTCCAATTTCTTAAGTTCCAGTAGCACCCAAATCTTCTTCTTCAATTTCCTGATTTTTAATAGTACCCAAATTTGATTCTACTATATCTTGGTTATGCCCCATTTCTTAATGTTCACCATCACATAAACTTGATTCATCTACAACCTGGTTTCTAGGTGCAAAAAGTATCAATTTTTTACAATTTAGAGACAAAAGATCCTCCATGTCCTCCCCTTGAAAAACAACATCCATTGTAACAAACATTCGTTGAGTTGGAGGATAAAAACATTTGTACCCTTTTTTATGAGTAGCATATCCCAAAAAAATACATTGCAATGCACGGGGGGATAACTTGTCGCGTTGATGCTTATGAAGATGTACAAATGCTACACAACCAAACACACGAGGAGTCAAATTTGGGACTGCCGGTGCAATCACCGCTTCAGCAAGAGCTTGAGATGGTGTTCTAAAGTTAATTCTGCTAGAATGCACTCGATTAATTAAATATGTTGCACAAGTGAGTGCTTCTCCCCCAATAACATTGTGGTAGATGAGCTTCAATCAATAGAGCACGAACAACTTCTAATAAATGACGATTTTTTCTCTCGGCTACCCCATTCTGTTGGGATGTATTGGGACAAGTAGTTTGATGAGCAATTCCATGTGCTTCTAAATATCGCTTAAGTTCATACCTAGAATATTCTCCCCCATTATCACTACGAAGAACTCTTACTTGGGCATTATATTGTGTGCAAATCATTTTATGAAACTTTTGAAACAATAAATTCACTTCACTTTTGAACTTCATCAAACACACACAAGTCATTCTAGTACAATCGTCTATAAAAGTAACAAACCAACGTGATCTACCTAACATATTCACCTTGGATGGACCCCAAACATCTGAATGTATAATCATAAAAGGAATTGAACTTTTATTCATTCTTGGTGAAAAAGACACACACTGACTCTTTGAAAGTTCATAGACATCACAATGGAAATCAGAAACATCAAATTTTGTAAATAACTTAGGAAATAATTTACTAAGATATCCAAAAGAAGCATGTCCCAATCATCGATGTCATAGACAAATATCAGATTTCCTTGTTTTGTCCTCACAACTAAACACATCAATCGATAATGCTTAGCGCAACTGGTTAGAACTTTTTGACTCCAAATCCAAGTAATACAACTGCTCTCATCTAGTACCATAACCAATTGTCTTTCTTGTATGGATGTCCTTTAATAGAACATGAAGGAAAGCTGAAATCTGCAGCAATGTTAATGAGTTGCTGCCTCTTTTATCTCTCTGAAATTTCTTGCCTTCTGTATATATCTACCACCATATATATATACACACATATAGTAATACAAATTGTATCTAACTAGGAGACCTAACTACACTAAGTAAGCTATCCATAGTCCTCAGGATTACTAGGTAGATTAGGAATTGTAGCCAAAGCAGGAGACGAGCTACATGTTCCAATACTCCCCTTGCAAGCTGAAGGTAGCGGAACGACATTCAGCTTGGAGCAGAGAAATTCAAATTTGGCGCCGAGGAAAGAGGTTTGGTGAGAACATCTACAAGTTGATCTTTGGTTGAAAGAAACTGGACAAAGAGATCCTTGCAAGCAACTTTGTCACGGACGAAGTGATAACCGATTTCAACATGTTTGGTGCGAGCATGAAAAATAGGATTAATGAATAGATAGGCAGCACCAAGATTATCACACCAAAGCACGGGAGAAGAATGAAGAGGTATGCCGAGTTCAAATAGCAATGATTATAACCAAGTGAGTTCAGCGGCTTCGTTAGCAAGTGTTTTATATTTAGATTTGGTGGATGATCGAGCAACGGTACGTTGCTTCTTAGAAGACCAAGAGATG